CGTTCCACCCCCACGCCTGTCGCGGCCCCTCAGCGTCCGCTTCACTCAGGCTGGCGATTAATTCAGTGAAAGCCATTGAGATAACAGCCCACTTCATTAGTGCATCTTAACGAAGCGGGCAAGACGCCTGATGGATGGAGGGACTCGGGAGGGACGAAGGCTAATGCAACTCGAGTTGAGATCTCCCGGTTGACGGCGACCGTCGGTCGTCGTAGGGGGGGGGGGGGGGGTGGAGTAGGGGTAGCGTAGCGTGAGGATGCGGCCGGTCGCCCAGGCGGTAACTTTCTCCGGCAAGGCAACTACTGCCGGGTCCGCTGTGCGCAGGGCCTGCACAGGCTGCAGGGCCTTACCTCGGGCGAGGTTCGCCCGAGTCTTGCGTGATGAGCACGACCGGCGCACTCCCCGGCGCTGCCTGGCAGGGCACGGCAGGAGAGAGTTTGGCGGAAAGTTGGGCAGGGCGGCGTATGGGCCCCATTACCCTGGCCGGCGACATCCAGCGCGCCGGACCCTCTCTATCTCTATCTCTGTTGCCCTCTCACTATCTCTGTATCTCCCCCCGCAGGCTCCGTGCGCCCAGAGTCATCCACCGCCTTCCCGCCGGTGCCGGACTTCCTCGTGCCGTCCACGGCCAGCCCGGCCGCCGCCGCCGGCCCCCCGCAGCACGAGTGCCCGCCGGGCAACCTGACGGCCGAGCTCGCCGTCGAGGAGGTCGGCGTCGGCCCCGAGGACAACCCGCTACGACCCAGCGAGGCGGACCCGGGCCACAACACCGTCCTCCCCGTCGACGACGACCACGGCTTGCTGCACGGCTTCTCGCCGGGGCAGTTCTTCAGGTGAGTGTCGACGAGGTGTTGTCCAAATCACTCGCGCCCGAGGCGCTCGAGCCCCGTGCTCATCCCATGTCTCAGTGCACCGCGCGCCCCCTCGACAAGCCCCCCTCTCTTTCTCTCTCTCGCCCTCGCTTTCTCTCTCTCCCTCGCCCTCCTTACTTCTTTCTTGCTTGCGCCTCTCTTTCCCCAATCGTTCGTTTTATCTCCGTGCTTCTGTCGTCAACTCGGCACCCAATGCCCCCTTCCCCCCTCCCTCTCTGCTGTCCGGAGAACCCCCCCTCCTCACGACCCCCGAGGCCGGCTCGGCTCTACTCGGCCACCCTCGCCAAACAGGCAGGCGTACAACTCAAGTTTTAGTGGCGCAATCTCTCTTCGTCGTCTGCCCCCTTCCCTTTACCCTGCCCCCCATCCCACGCTAGCGCCCACACACACATACGCGTACACACACACACACACACAGAGTAACATACACACTCACACAGGCGCGCGCAGCTCCCTACTCCTTCTCATGCAGCTTGCCGGACCCCTCCCAAACTATTCGTTGGGTGCGTTTTACAAAAAAGTGCCACATGTATGTGTTCACCAGCCTTTATACAGGGTGGGTGTTTCAAGCCGCGCTTCTGGTTGGACCGTACCGTACGGCATGCTGCAGGCGCGCGCGCCGTGCAGGCTTGCCTACCGACTTAACATACGACGCTCTTTTGGCCCCGTGCGAGTATGCAACCCGTTTCCGAGATTTTGATTAATGTTAAATTTTGACAGTACCAAAATTATCACACTTTTGTTGTAAATTTACAATAAAAAATTAATAACAGTGTATATGTACTTGACAGTAAGAATGTTGTCCCTTTCAGCGATAAATTTTCAAAAAAGGCCGCCCGCTCCGCTTTTGCCTGCGGTTGTGAGCGAGCGGCCACCCCGTCCGCAACCAGCAGTGTGAATGCGGCCATTGTGCGGATGAGAAATTTGCTCGGTTCGATTGGTTGCCGCGGCGCGGCGCCTATCACATTCGCTTCAATACATTTTGGGGGTTTTGTTTTCGCCTTTGCCTGCCTGCCTCCGCAGCTGCTACTTTTTTTTTTCTTTCGGGAGTCGCACGGGCGTGCTCTCATTTCATTTGTGTTCCGTCCGTCCGTTCCTGCCAGTCCCGAGCCGCGGTCCCCCTCCGGCCACAGAGGTGCGTCAGCCAGCCGTGAAGCCGCCGGGCCGGGGCGGGCCCGGCAGCGTGGAGCTCTGCCAAACCCATAGCCCGGCCCGAAAGCGCCCAAAGTGCGAAAGGCCGCAGCCAAAAGGACCGAAAGGGGCTTGCAGCAGCGCCGGCGGCGGCGCGAAACTCCCTCAGCCTCCCCCCTTCCCGATCCACCTCCCTTGCCCAGGCTCAAACCTCTCGCCCGTTGTCCGATCCTCGCTGCGGCCGCAACGCTAGGAGAGTTAGTTTTGTCTGGAAGTCTTGCTCCGCCAGAGAGCGCAAATACTTGCGATGTACTTGTAGTGGAGTGGTGCCTCGGGTCATAGCCACGTACGTACACCGCGTCAAGTGGGGACCAACTCATGTATTTGTGGGCATGCTTGCATTCTTTTAATCTTCCTTGTATTTTGTAATG